TCTTTTCTCTATTAGACTATATAGAAAGAAAGTTTTTTTTAAGCTTACTATATGGCTATGTAACGTCGTGATCAGAACTTTTGGTACACCCTAAGTATATATATATACCTGCATCTATTTCCGTGATATCACTATTCACAATTTGAAAAAACAATGAGCCAGTCTAATGTTGATTTTTCTGACTTACCAAATGAAATATTGTTGAATATTTTGAAGAAACTAGACAATATTGGTGTTTTGTACTCATTATTCGGTGTTATCGATGAACGATTTGACAGTCTACTACAAGACGATATTTTCACAAACACTCTGAATTTACTTACAAATTCAGCTGATAATAATTCTTCACTTGTCGATCCAATGCTTGATCGATTTTGTATTGATATATTACCAAGAATCCATTGTAATGTTAAACATCTCATTCTTGAGTCAACGTCTATGGGACGTATTTTTCTGACTGGTACATTTCCACATGTAACGCGTCTCCATGTGTTTAACTTTGGACAACATATCGCGTTAAATTATTTTGCAAGTAAATACTCACTATATTTATATATGAAAATAAAAAAGATAAAACTATTAAAATAAAATCGGATGAATGATTTGTTTTTTTTTTACTTAGATGAGTCAAGCTGTCAACATATTTTCAAACATCAAATAACAGAACTTATTCTTGAAAATAGTGATCAGTACGATAAAACAATATTACTAGAAGAATATACTCAAAATATTTATGCACCAATCTTGACTTTCTTCGAAAATTTAATACATTTAAGTATTGTTGAATCATCATTCATTCGTAAATATCCACCTTTATCAATATGTAATTTACCACCAACTACATTTTTTTCGTCTATTCTTACAAAATTATGTATCAATGTAGATAGTATAAATGATTGTCTTTATTTACTTGATGGTCGTCTTAAACAATTGACAACATTGATTATTCAAATTGGGTATATCGACAATGATTCATCGATTATTCATAATACCGTAAGTTACTAGCAAATCGAGAGTATGTCGTTCTAGATTACCTGATAAACAATTCCTATTGGAAATAATTAGTTGAATGATTGAAGATAAACTTTTGCTTAAGTGACAGCTCTATCAGAGTTTTTTTTATATATGTTAAAAATAATAAGTTTAGAATTGGTCGAAATTCTGTAGAGTGTATTTTTCTTTTAACAGATTTATGATGATTTTTGTGTTAAGATGTTCGAAGCACTCATTCTATTAATAAGTATCGTACGTAGGTGTTACCGTAAATCGTTAGAAAATTAACCAATTGTTTTACTTTTATTATCAAATATATGTTTCACGTTAATATAAGAAATGTTTCAAATAATTGAAAATGAATTATAGTCTATCATTTGTTCTTGTGAACTTTTTCCTGAAATAAATTGATGAACATGTGTTTTTATTTTTTAGAATGATCTACCTAACTTGAAATGTTTTTCATTAACATGTTATAATCAAACTGATGCATATGACAACCGGGTGATACCTATACTTCGTCGGATGACATATTTAGAAAAATTAACTTTGTATATTCGTATTCGTAATCGAGCTATATTTGTTGATGGTACTAATCTTCATACTGATGTTCTTATTCATATGCCACGACTTCATACATTCAGTTTTTATTTTAATACTGAGAATCAATTCAATGATTCAGTTCATCCATTATCTGATAAAGATATTCAACAAACTTTTACAAATATAGGTTATCATCAAATAGCCTGTAGTGTTAATTATTGTCGTAATTACAGGGCAATATGTCATGTTTTCTCACTTCCATTCATATTTAATCGTCTTCAAAACATTACTAATAAGTTTCCAAATATAATATTCAATGATGTTACTTATCTCATGGTAGCTGATGCGATTCCATTCAAATATGAATTCTTCATTCGAATTGCTAAAGCTTTTCCATCATTGAAGTATTTTTCTATTATTAATCTTATGTCACCATTATGGAATTTTAACTTATATACAGCCGATAATATTGATTCACTTTCATATATTGAATATCTAAATCTTATTTCACTTGATGTTAAATATGTGGATGATTACTATATTGAACAATTTCTACTTGATACAAAAACATATGCACCTCGTTTAACTGAAATCAAAGTTCATTTTGATCGATTGCAAACTGTAACAGAGAATTTTACAAGAGATGCAACACGATACAACTGTCGCAATATAAAACGATTAGTTTTTGAAAAGAAAATGAATTATCCAAAAGAATTATATCTCTATTTTCCTTCACTTGTAGAGTGAAATTTGTGTAAATGCAAATGAATAGCATAGAAGTTTTTTGTTCTCTCTTTCTCAAAATAAAAAATAATGTAGATCAATAACAATTGTTAATATTTCATTATAAATTTTATTAAAACTGATGATTCGAATTGATTTATTTGAATAAAACTCAGAAATAATTCCATGCATTTGTAAGGAGGTGTGTCAAATTACGGATACAGCATCCCAAACAAGATCGGCCTAATTTTATTAGCCCGATAATCAACATTGACCCCGGATTATTTCTCACAAGTTTATTTTGCATTTTATCACAACTCAATTTTTTGACCCCTGGGGTCC